GTTTGTGCAAAATCCGTGTGCGGTTAGTTGTGATTTTACGTAATAGCTATGGTTTCAGGTGATTCTCAATTTTTGCTATCTTACTTGGTTATCTTTTGGATGAACTGACGAGTGATTGTCTGTCAGGTGGTGGAGATGACATGGAGAAAAGAGGGGGAAAATTGGAGCTTGGACCCGACGGTTTATACTGGTTTGATGGGGACAGCTTTGATGTGCTTGCGATCTTATGAGGCCACCGGCAATGGCCGGGACTTGGAGCTGTGCGCCAAAATTGTTGACGCCTGTACCCCAGCTGCTCAAATCTCCAACAGGTAGATTCATATTGCACTTATTAATAATTAATGGAAGTGTATAGTATACATACATGGGTGCTTATTAGGTGAATCAGTTACCACACCTTTTTCCTCCCCTTTTCCTTTCCTATTTTTTTCGGTTTAGAAGTGAAGTTGGTGTGTTTTATGAATATTTTGTGTTCAGTGATTTGGCTTACGAGGTGGCCGGGATAGGGTCTGTCTGCCTACTTGCGGCGATGCAATTTTTATAACACAAAAACTTATCTAAATCATGTTCCATGTGTTCTTTCTGGTTGAACATGACACCAACACAACAAGGAGGACAATTTAGAAGCTTATGTATGAGTAGTTTTTCAGTGTTTAGTTGGTTGGCCATGTTTGGGAAGTCTTTTACAGCCCTGTATCAGAGCATGGACTTTTGAGAAATGGAGATCATTGGTGCTATGCTTGCACGGTGTTTCGAATTAAGTGACGTACACTTTTTATTGCTTAATAAAACAAACATGGTAGGCAGGAGTTATTATCAGAAGACCAAAGCTTTCTACTCATGTTACATGTACCAAGTGATAGGTGTTCTTGTGTTTATTGAGATATTAAGCTCCTAATTTTTGGTCGAGCTGATGGGTACAACACTTAAAGTTACCTGTTTAAGATGTAGAAGTAGATATATACTGAGACCTCAGTAATAATTCATGCACATGATACGCTTGTGCTCAAATTCACATTTGTTTCACTTAGCAGTATAAGAAATAGGATCAAAATAAACAGTGAACTAAGTCCCATTTGTCATGTTAACAGAGCCAATTTTATCAGCAAAAAAATTGTAGTATCTTGAATATATGAAGGCAATCAAATTTTCATTTTTTGATGTTTTCATGCATATCTCGAATTAAAGAATATGTCCTCAAATATTTATTTACATTCATACTTCATAGGGCTAAAATCATATATAATTTTTTTGTTTATTTTTATTTTTTTGTGTGTCTATCTGAGATGTGTATGCATAAATAATTGCTAACTTTTCAGTTAATATTTTTGCCTTAACCTGTTTCTTGTTTCTTGTACACCTCAATTATTATTATTTATTGAATCTTAATATTGAATTGTTGATTCGATATTAAATTCATTCAATATCGCTCATAATATTAAGCATTATAATTTTTCTTAATATTAGATATTTTCCGCAAATAGTCGAATCATGTGGCGACTACAATATAATGTATGATGACACGAAATGCTAATTTAGAGAAACCACCAGTATGACATTAGTCAATTCTTATCAGATTTTTTGCTGAATGTACTGTCAACTTGGATTGCCTTTGAAATGTCAAGTAGTTCTGGACCTGATGGTGTCGAAAGTACCAGAAAAATTATGAGTCCACGTGTCCCTTTTGTAGCTGCTCCTTTTTTCTCCAAACCTTGTTATTCTTTTATTGTATTTTTCTTAAATGATAGAGACATACGCTTCTTGTAATCAACAAGTGTGAATAAACACTATGAAACAGACAAGAATTCAATCTTGGACGTAAAAATCTATTTCTGTATTGTAGTTCCGGTTAAGAGAAATCTGTCTTATGATTTTTGTCTCAGGGCCATGAATGGGTTACTGCATTACAAAAGTCATCTCTTCAAATGAAAATAAATAAGATAATAATGTTCTTCAACTTAATTAGGTGTGTGACAATTCTTTGTCTGCATGAAGTGCTTCCCAAGTCCTTACAAATGTGCCTGGGAAAAGATCTTGCTATCCTTGGCGTTGGAAAAAAAAAACATTGTTACATTTATCTTTGGAATAACTACATCTGTCTACTTGAATTACATAAAATTCATCATGATTGTGTATTGGGCTGACATCACTTTTTTTTTAATCATCAATTCTTGGCGCAGGCATGTTACATTTCTTTGTGGTAGAGGAGGTGTCTATGCTGTCGGTGCTATAACTTCAAATTACAGTGGGGACCAAAAGAAGCGCAACTTCTATGTGGGTCGTTTTCTGGAGGTATCATCATGTTTCTTGTTGATTGTCTTAATATCTGTATTAAGATATTATTTTGGGTGTATCTGATAGTGGTCCACATATATCTAATTATTGAAAAATGGAATTGCCTAGCTGAAAATTTCATTTTAACTAGGACCATGAAGGGTTGAAACGTGGTCCTTCATCTTTCCGTACTCCCTAGACTCGGAAATCGGAATGCAAGGATGTCATTAATATCCTTCAGTAGCGTCGTAGGATTTCCAAATTTTTTTTTTATTTTTTTTTTTTATGTTTGTTATAACATAAGAAGCACATGAAGACAAATTTTATATTTTCTTTGGAAGATGTTAGAAAACCACAAATGCTACAGTCACCATATTCTTCTCTTTTTAACTAGGCAATTTTGTGAGCATTGGGTGCAAGTTTAAAGTTTCACTTAACAAGGGCAATACCTTTTTCCTTCAAAAGACACACGCTTTCATAGTGTAATCTCATTTTCTCAAGTAAATAGTTAAAAGTTATGCAATTAAACGAACAAGGTGAAAGTAAAATGTTCCCCCATTCATCAGATGGCACAAGAGAGAGCACTCCCTGTGGGACCAAAAGAAGGCGGATTTGGGATGTCATACGACCTTCTCTACGGACGAGCTGGATTTCTTTGGGCTGCTTTGTTAGTGAACAAATATTTAGGCCCCCAAACAATCCCTAACGAGCTTCTCATGCCAGTTGTCGAGGCAGTCCTGGCAGGAGGCCGAGCTGGCGCCTCTGACAACATATCATGCCCGTTGATGTACAGATGGCATGGGACCAGATATTGGGGTGCAGCCCATGGGCTAGCCGGTATATTACACGTTTTGCTTCATTTTCCTTTGTCTGGTGATGATGTTGAGGATGTGAAAGCAACTCTAAGGTACATGATGAGTAATAGGTTTCAACACAGTGGGAATTATCCAGTGAGCGAAGGGAACACGAGAGATAAGCTGGTCCAGTGGTCCCACGGAGCTGGTGGTATAGCTGTTACCCTATGCAAAGCATCCGAGGTTGGTGAATATTTTTTAGTTAGGTTATTCGGTAATAGAAAATAATTGGGATATATATATTTGAGTCTTTGTTTTTACTGCAGGTTTTTCCGAACGATAGGGATTTTCGTGATGCGGCCATTGAAGCAGGGGAAGTTGTGTGGAAAAACGGGTTGGTGAAGAAGTTGGGGTTGGCGGAGGGTGCGGCTGGCAATGCATACGCGTTCTTGTCTCTATTCCGTCTCACGAGAGACGGCATATATGAAGAGAGAGCAAAGGCGTTCGCGACTTACCTGTATCACGGTACGTGGAAAATGTTGGCGGCTGAGAGAAATTGTGGTGGAGAAGAGCTTATGATGTATTCGCTTTTTGAAGGGGCAGCTGGGGCTGCTTGTCTCTGGTTTGATCTGTTAGCGCCTTTGGAATCTCGATTTCCAGGCTATGAAATCTAGACTGTTGAGTGTCTGAGGCAAAGCTGGAAGTGTAGTAATATGGTAATGGGTGATTTGTGTGTGGTGGGGCACAAAGGGCCACTAGCTTCGATACGTATGTTATGTATGTTACCCTACCTTCGAACGTGAGACTTTGAGATATAAGGAAATTGGATCTGGCTTTGGTTGTGAGCCAGCCATTGATATCTAAGAAAATGTGTGATGTTCTGGTGAAAAAATGTGGGATGGCACACATTTATAATCTTTAGGGATTTATTGTACCAAATCCCCCTATATTATATGAAAATTTTAAAAATTGTCAAACCCTCTTATATTTAATATCTGCATGCATACTCGCTATTTGATGTCACATTTAATTTATCAATGAATTTACCATTATGCTCTTATTGTCAAATATGTTGACTTAAAAATAAAGTACCAATGGTAGGGATTGAACCCATGACCTTTGGGGTTGTAAAAGTAAACTCTCCACCAACTGAGCTATAAGTCATTTAGTTATAAATGTGATTTCATATATATATATATATAATGTCTGAAGAAAATAATATAATACATAAATATATTCTAAATTATAAATAATATAATGATTGCATAAATATTATTCTATATTATAAATAATAAAACGATTCATTAAATATATATCAAATTAAAAATAATAAATGAGTGAATAAATTGATTCTACATTATAAATAATATAATAATTGAACTAAAATATTATGATAATTATAAATTATAAACAATATAATAATTAATATGTAGATTTTGTGATAATTGAATAAATAGATTCAAAATTATAAATAATATAAAAGTTAAGTAAATATAATCTAAATTATAAGTAATATATAATTAAGTAAATAGATCATATAAGATAAATAATATAATGATAATTAAAAATTATAACTAATACAATAATTCAATATATATATATTTATAATAATGGAGTAAATATATCTATATTATAAAAAATATAATAATTGAATAAATTATATTATAAATTATAAATAATATAATGAGTGAATAAATTGATTTTAAATTATACATAATATAATGATTCAGTAAATAAATTCTATATTATAAATGATACAATAATTAAGTAAATATATTCCAAATTATAAATAATATAATAATTCAATAAAGAGATTCTAAATTATAAGTAAGATTATTAATTTTAGAAAATTTTATATTTATTCAGATTTAAATAAATAAAATAACCAAAACTTATTTATATAATTTAAAGCTCATAACAAATGATACTTGATATTTTAATTAATAGTTTTTTGAATTATAAATAGAATTTTTAATTATTATATATTTACCAGAATTTAAATAAATAAACGAATAAATAATAAATACATAAATTATGTATTACAAATTCAAAAATAATAATTTAATTGAAAAATAGAATTTATATATTTTTCAAACTTTTAAAAAAATATAAAATAATATAAAAACTAAATAAAGTATATAAATACAAATCATATATATAGATATATATTGAATACAAAGTATTTTATATAAAATTTATGCTTTAATAATATATTATATATAAAAGTATCATTTTATTTTATTATTTAAAAAAAATTAATTTATTTTAGTTTATTTTTATTTATATATATTATATTACTTCAATTAAAAAACGTATATTTAAATTATATATTCAAGTTTATTTCATATTTATATTTTTATTTATTTAAATGAAATTATCATTTTATTATTTATTAAGTAGTAATATATTTATTATTTTCAAATTTCACATTTAATTTCATTTAATTTTTTTTATTTTATTTTAATTTAATTTAATTATATTTTTTTATAACTACTTTAGTTTGTGATTACTTTATTTTTCTATTTTTTGTTTAAATAATAGTATTAGTTTATTATTATATTAATTAGTAATATATTTATTTATTAATTTCAAATTTAACACATAGTTTTATTCAATTTAATTTTTTATTTTATCTTAATTATATTTCCTTATAGTAACTTCTTTTTTTATTATTTTATTTTTTGTTTTGATTAAGTTTTTCTCTGTGTTGTTCTAAATAAAAGTGGTGCTAGGTATGTAACACAAAATGAAGGTGGTGCAGTGGTTGGAAGCCTTGCTATGGAGCTTTTGGCTTAGGTTCAAATCCTAGGATCAACAAAGCATTTTTTTGCCAATAATGGCTAGAAAAACAAGGGGCAAAATAGTAAATTTTAATTTTAAATAAAAATTATATGAAAAAAGTGAATAATTATCGCATAAGAGCAATGTGTATTGATCCTAGGATCAGCAAAGCATTTTTTGCCAATAATGGCTAGAAAAACAAGGGGCAAAATAATAAATTTTAATGTTAAATAAAAAAATATGAAAAAAGTGAATAGTTATCGCATAAGAGCAATGTGTACTGCACGCGCCGTCAAGTTGGACGGAGAAGGGGGAATCGTGCAACAGTTAGTTAAATAATACAAGGGAGTCTGACGCAATTTTTAAATTACCAGGGGAAAACGTGCAGATTTCGTATAATACAGGGAGGTTATGTATATTTTACCCGAATCTTTAGCATAATGATATTATTATTATTTTTTTAGGTTTAGAAACATAAATTTTGAGTCTTCATGCTTGGATATAAAAATTTTCAAAAAAATTCAATCATTTTTAACTAATCATTTTTTTTTTTACTCAAATCTAACTCAATTTTACATCATCACTACTATCTTCAATATTATTAATATAATTAAATAATAGCATTAATCATTCTTACATATTAAATCAACTTTAAATCACAATTCTTCAATTCACATAATTTTAACTAATCATCAATTCACATCATTTCTCTTCAACTTTTACATCAAATTAACTTTAATTATTTTATTTTAAATATTATTTTAATATAAACTCAAAATTCTAGAAACAACTAGTCGTAACAAACCAAAAAATCCAAACAAAATCAAAAATTTAAATATCCAAGCATCTGTGCAAGAGAGAGGACGACACAAAGTTTTGTCTCATCATCAAGGCTATGTATATTCATGCCACCAACCACAAAGAACATTAAAGAAAATGTAAGAGCAATATAAAGATCATAAGCCGGCCATTTGGTCTGCCAGCCCATTCACAAACCACCTAGTTTGCGTCGCTTGCATGCCTACAGATCTGCAAAGAAACTGTTTGAACTGCCAATGTTTTGCCCTTTGTTTCCATTTTTTCTCTTGGTCCCTGCCGAGTAAAAACGATCGTTCAAGTTCTTCTTTTCTTACCATAAATATTTAAAACAATTAGTTATATCACAAGAAAAACAGGCAATTCACCAATACTCAAACAAGATGCACCGCGTATCATGCCTGAGCCCAAATGATGATGATAATGACTTTGCGTAAACTCTAATCAATTTTTACATTAATCAATTATTTTACATTGAAATTCAACTAAAAATGTGTAAGTGAACTTCTGGAATATACCTTTAGAAGGTTTAGGAATATTATCATCAACGTCCATCCCGTCACCTTCGCTATCGGAGGCATTAGAATGATTTGACAGAGTACCTCCAGACCCTTGCAGCAAGTCATCCAGATCCCATAGCTATATATGTAGATTAAGAAAAGGCATTATAATTTAACAAAAAGGCATAATAAAACATCAAATTTACATATATAATATGCATAATTTAGTAAGAGAGTGACCTTTAAGGTGTGATCATGTGATATGCTGCCTAGGAACTTTTTATCATGAGAAAAGGCTGCAATACGTGTGATATGAGTTAAAGACAATTCAATCCATCCCTATGGAAAAGAGTAAGAAAAAGCATACCAAGACGTTCGACGGGATATTCGGAATGCTCAGCAATTGGCTGGATAATTCTGTTGGGCAATATACCGACCAAACTAAAGAGAACATATGGATAAATTTTTTTGTTTCTGTTAGTATGGGAAATTGAGTTTAATCCTAAAGTGGAAATCAAAGTTAGAGGAGCAGTAATCATTTCTTATGAAAGATCATACCTGATTATTCCATTCTCAGAGCCAGTGATAACTCTATCTTCATCGAGCTTTAAACAAGGAATGAGTAATGGAAATAAAATTTAATTTACAAGAAGATAAACAGACAAAGGGCTTGAAAATGGTTAAGATAGATCTTGCAAATGGAAAGTAATTACGAAAAAAGAGCAGACCTTTAATAAGGCATCCACAGAATTAGGAGAGAGATCAATGAAACGATCACTGAAATTTAGAAGGCATAGCATTAAGTCCATCATCAAACTTGGTGATGCAGAAGAATGGAGAAAAATTATATGCTGGTATCTTTATTCTATCCCAGAATAAAATGCATTAAGCTGGGAAAAGTATATTAAAGGAGGTGAAATACCTGCAATCTTTGAAAAATCCCCATGAGTACAATAATAGGGTTCCAGACTGCGTTCCGCATACAACCTTCCTACCATTCTGGCCAAGAAAGAAATTAACACACAGTTCATCAGTAAATCTGATGCAACTATCAAGGTCCAAGCTGAGCCGAAATAAACAATTGCACATAAATATTATAATAAGGACAAGGATTTTTTTATGTCAGAAAATCAAGCAAGAGTATGAAGTAAATATATATATATAAAAAAAACATTAAACACAAAATGTCAAAAGATAGGAAATGGCAAACGCACTAACAGAATTTCAGGTTTCTTTGTTTTCCGCTGGAGTAGAAGAAAAGTAGCCTCTAACACACCCATTTGAATTTAACAATGTAAGCAAACTAAAGTGAATTCATTTTAAGCTATACGCTAATTCTGATCAAAAGCTATATAGGAATAAAAATATTATTGCACTTCCTAAGGGGAAGTTAAATCCAACCTTCATAATCACCACAGAAAGCAGTTCATCCTCAGAGAACTCGGAACGAGTTTGAACCTGCAACAGATTCAGTTATCTACACTAAGATATAACAGCATTAATCAGAAGGCAAATTAATGGATCACCGAAATAGAAAGAAATACCTTGTTGCTTCTTAAATTGCAAACTGAGAGAGTACCATCTCCACTGCATCGGAGATAAAAATAAGAATTTGGATTAATCGGGTCCCAGTCATCAGTAAAGAAGCACACTAAGGCAGAATGTTTTCAATATACATATTAAAGTGGAAATATTAGGTCCAAATGCTCATTGCTTTTTCCTCCACAAATGATAAATTTTGACTAATGCAACTTTGCATAAATATCAGCACACTTCAAAAGGCTATGACACAGACACGCATGGCAGAATGGGATAAAAAATACCTTGTTCCAATCAACTTCATGGAATCTGAAGCAAATGTCATGTCCGAAATGTATTCTTCATGAACATCAAACGTGTTGCAGCAAGAACGCTGTCTGGTATCCCACACCTGAAATATGAAGTAAAACAAGAAAACTTTATCTTGGCCCAACAACAGAAAGAATTTTGGGCTTAATTGCTTAACAAAAGAGCACTCCCTCAGATGAACAAAACAGAAAGCTGTATTCCCACGGATAGACTGAGAAGAACAAACGGACGTCAATCTACCACTGCCACTTCTTTACCACACCACAGCACAATAGGAAGAAAGAGCTTTATTTGATATCAATACAACTATACATGTACAAACATCACATCCAGATGATGATGCTTGCAAACTTCAAGTGTTTGTTTCTTATAAAATGTAAGAGTCCAATCTAGGTGTTAATGGACTCAGATGACAAGAAATGTGACTATAGAAATAATGTACGGTTTATTATTTAGCCCCCATCATCATCAACGAATAAGAATGAGAATGGCTAGTGATCTCATATGCAACTTAAACATAGGATTATTCCTAATCAAGGAGATACCCAAAAAATTCCATGCTAAAAGAAAGTGGATAAATGAAACAAAATGCCTATTTAGAAACCTAACCACCACAATCTGTTTAACAATTAGAGCTAATGTACTTAAATCGCGAACATCATCACTTAACTAACACATGCATCATAGAAATAATGATTGATAAAGATAAGAATAAAAAAAGAATAAAAGAAAAAAAAAAAAAAAAAACTAATACATGCATCATAAAACATCACAATCCAAATGAGCTTGCAACTTCGACTAAGGCTTTCTATCACAAATATAACCTTCCATACATTCAGAGTACACAGCACTCACCTTAATACAACCTTCATCATCTCCAGAAGCAATTGTTGACTCTGTCAAGTTCACTATTCGATTTACAGCAGCCCTGCAGATCCCACAAAGATACAATGAGCCTGATCAATTAAAAAAAAATGACGTGAAAATATAAACTTTTTTCTTTCTAATAACAACTCACTCATGGGCATTCTCAAGACGTGCAATTGCTGCACCAGTTTCTACATCAGTGGCGAGAATGGAACAATCTGGAGACCCTGATACCATAGCTGCAGAGAAACCCATTTTTCAAATTCGATCAACCAATTAACTAATAGCGGTAAAAAAAAGTCCAGAATACACAACAAATATGTAAGTTACCACGCCCTTCATTGACAAAACGGAGTGCTCTGCATGATTCAGTATGAGCATCCACTACCAGCAGCCTAACAATAGAAAACATTGGAATCAAAAAATGAAATGTATCAAAGCATAAAAATCCCGTATTGCGTGCATTGTTAAGTAGTACCTCTGTGGGGTAGATTCAGCGGCATAACTATATCTGGCGGGAAAATAAAGAAAAATCATCAAAAAAAATACTTTTGCTACTAAAACTTTAAAAACTATGGAGTGCGATTGGAGATAAACTTACAAAAGGAGTTGGCCGGTGATGAGACCAGCAGCAACTAGGTTATTTGATGGATGAAAATCAAGGTCAAATGGAAGTTTTTCCAGATCAATCTCCATTTCACGCAAGACAATTGTTGAAGACGAAGGCCGTTTTCTAAAACCCTACGAGGGATTAGGAATTAGACCTTTGAGTTGGCGGTTCACGATTTCGTTCGGGTTTTCTCAAACAGACATAGACGCATCAAACGGGCCGACCGGGCGGGACGGGGCGTCCTGCAGCCCACCAAAACCCATCTTCATGAATCAAGAGGGCTCTGAACATACATTAACTATCCATTCCTATTGTTACAATGGCCCTGATCCATAAAAAATGGGTCTATTGTCTACACTTGAACTTAGGCCCAGCCCATCACTGTGCCCACTATTTATTTATCCTATAACAAACCCACATTTACAACCCTAGTTTCTGAGGAGGCTGAAAGAGCGTTTCAAAGAACCAACACTGTCGCTGCCTCTTCTACCTTCCATCGAAGATGAAGGTTCCTCTCTCTCTCTCTCTCTCTCTCTCTCTCTCTCTATCTCTCTCTCTCAGTGTGATTATTCATGCGTGTGTCTATGATGATCTATCTCACTTTCAATCGAAATCTATTGAACCATTTTATTTTGAATATGTTATAGTTCAACATAGCGAATCCGACAACTGGTTGCCAGAAGAAGCTGGAAATCGACGATGACCAGAAGCTGTACGTCATTTGTTCAATTTAACTATTTTCTCTTCCATTTTTTTCTTTTTGTCATCATTTGCTCGTTTCTGTACACGTAATAGATTTTCTGTTTACAAGCTGTGGCTAATATATGTATGTTTAATTCTGTTGAAATTTGCTTTCTTGCTGTTTGTTAGCATTATGGAACAATGTAGAATCAGTCTCGGGCTTCTAGATGTACGTTTGGCATGATGTAGAGCTCTGTTAGTATCAGTTCACAGTTCAGAGAAATGAGAGGGTACCACTTGCATAGTCTTGATAGACAGTGTCCATTTGATCAGTTTTGTCCCTTTGATCTGGCCATTTTTTTTTATCTCGTTCAATATGATTGTTCTCAGCCAACCTAAAGGTTATTGGTAATTCTTAGTTCAGCATGTTGTATTTGTGTCAAATGTTTGTTGTTTTTATTTTTCTTATTTTGTTCTTATAGTATAAAAATGTATTCAGACGATAGTTCTCTCAATGCATAAATTCTACATAATTGCCCATGTGGCTTATTGTGGCTCGCCATGGATATCCGGTGGAAGTAGTATTTCTGCAGATTTGATGAGGAATCGATCTTGGAAATGTAGGATCTGTTTTTCATGTAGTTAGTTATACTTGTACCATGCTACATTGGTTCATATGGTGTCCTGATTTGTTATGTTGCCATTATTAGCTTCAGCCATCTTCTTATTAAGTTTCCTTAAACTACAGTCGTGTCTTCTGGGACAAGAGGATCTCTCAGGAAGTCAATGGAGATGCTTTGGGCGAGGTATTCCCAATAAAATTCTAACTGCAAGCAACTTCTGTCTGACAATATGTATTACTAACACGGGCATTACTTGTTTGTATTTCAGGAATTCAAGGGCTACGTGTTCAAGATCATGGGAGGCTGTGACAAGCAAGGTTTCCCTATGAAGCAGGGTGTCCTTACTCCTGGCCGTGTGAGGCTCTTGCTCCACCGAGGTATTTGAATCTGTATTTCTCAACCCTCTTTACAATTATATTGTTTATGATCCCTGAAAATTCCTCCCACCTCAATTAAGCAAAAGTGTCTCCATTCTAAACAGGCACTCCTTGCTTCCGTGGTTTCGGAAGGAGGAATGGAGAACGTAGGAGGAAGTCTGTTCGCGGGTGTATTGTGAGCCCTGACCTGTCAGTTCTGAACTTGGTGATTGTGAAAAAGGGTGAGAATGATCTCCCTGGGCTGACCGACACTGAGAAGCCTAGGATGAGAGGTCCCAAGAGGGCTTCCAAGATCCGTAAACTCTTTAACCTTTCCAAGGAGGACGATGTTCGCAAGTATGTCAACACCTATCGTCGGACGTTCACCACCAAGTCTGGTAATAAAGTCTGATCTTCACAAATTGCATCTTAGTATTATTGGGTTATTTTCTAAACTGCCTCCAAGATTTATGAGCCTTTTAAGTTTGTAACTTTGTTTGTAATTTTCTTTTTTTTTTTTTTCAAAGGAGCTGAGTAGATGGATTTTTAAACATGCTCTATAAGAGCTTATGAGCTCCCATAAGTTTGCCCCAATTTAACTAGCACTATATCAGTATATCATTTAGGAACTAATTTTTCAGATCAAATATCCTTTTGTGACCGAATACATAAACCACTTAAATATAGAGTAAGCATAACTGCTTTTATATACTTTGTTTTGAGAAGCTCCCAAGAAACTTGCATGTAAAAGTTTTGTCGATCTTTTTAATAAAGCTCAGCCGAAGCTCACTAATTTATTACTTCTCTCTCTCTTAATAAGACTACTTTTGGGGTAGTTATATTATCATTGCCGAATCTTCACAATTATGTTTTGGTTTGATGATCAATACATATTTATTTCCTGGTAGGTAAAAAAGTGAGCAAAGCTCCCAAGATTCAGAGGCTGGTGACCCCACTAACTCTGCAGAGGAAGAGAGCTAGAATTGCCGACAAGAAGAAGAGGATAGCCAAGGCAAAGTCTGAAGCTGCCGAGTATCAGAAGCTTCTTGCTAGTCGTTTGAAGGAACAAAGGGAAAGGCGTAGTGAGAGTTTGGCCAAGAGGAGGTCGAAACTTTCTGCTGCCTCTAAGCCATCCGTAGCTGCTGCTTAAATTACTTTATGCTGAAGTTGCCTTTTCTTAAGATTCTTATTGAGGCTTTTGTGTATGACGTTTCTAGGGCCCAGGCCTGGTTAATTCTTTTGCTGGTTCTGGGTAAGGAGAGTTTCTTTTACATGTTCTGCTATAGACTACAACTTCTGTTGCATCTAAGAACAAAAATATATTTTGAGATGTTACTTGTCTTGAAATTGATCAGGTTGGTACATGATGCTGTTCCAATTATTTGGCCCTTTTGTTTTCTTGTAGTAACTTGTGCTGATATTTAATTTATGGGATTAAAATCTTTCGGCATCCCAACTTGAACGAAATTTGCGACTTTCCTCCCAAAAATGATTTTTGTAATTTCG